GGTTAATGCTCTCCAGTGTATTAAGCAAATTAAAAAAAAAAACAAAAACAAACAAACAAACAAACAGCAAAACCAGAAAAAAACGAAAAGCCATAGAACAATTACTTTTTAAAACTTGCCATTTGCTTTAGATGTCTACAGTATTTAAAACTTACACTGCTTGGTAGAATCTCCTGTGTTTAAGCAGACACTTTACTAAAAGTTTATTTGATGTTTTAAAATCTTTGGATTATTTGGTAACTGGAAAACATGCAGATTTTTGCAGAAGTGTGAAAATGAGTAACAGAATCATTTGCCGTGATTGCATTTTCGTATTGATTCTGACAATAAATCATCTACCTTTCTTATATCTTTCTTCTCCAATTTGCCTTTGTGACCTGACCCATCCTTGAAAACTCCATTGCTGTGTTTGGAGAGGACAGGAACAGAACACAGATTTTCAGATTTCCTTTAAGCAAGTTACTTTTCTAGCCCTTTTCCTCTTGAAGATAACTTTGAAAATCCTTACTAAAACTAATTGAGAAGGTTGAAAGCTTGCCTCAGACTTTCCCCCCCTGCCAAAGCTTATTCAGAAGCCTCCTAGGATTGGGCTTTGGGGTCTGTGGGCTGCTCAAATCGAAGGCCAAATCCTCAGAGGTGCTGAGCAGCTCCAGCTACAGACTTGGCTTCTTGTTTGTAGTGGCTTCCAGCAACATCTGCAGCTCCTACAGGGATCAAGACTTAGCGGCTCTTTGCAACTCCCAACAGGCATTTGTTCAGGGCTGGTACATTTTTATACTTCAGTGTTACTTGCAGTAGGATGTTTTCAAAAGCCTGTCTCGTGTGCAATAGCTCAGACCTTTTGCATATTGCTAAAGATCCTTCTCGTGCAGCCTTATGTTATGAGGAATCAGGGTCTTACAGAGTCCCTGAAAGCACCTGATTCTGTTTGCAGCCTCAGCCTGACAGTTTGCTTGCTTGGACAAGAATGTATTTTGTGGAACCTTAAGCCTAAATTATTTCCCAGTTTGGTGTCTCCTCTCCAGTAGTAAACAGTTTCACTTGAAGTGGTTGACAGTATGATCCAGCACCCTTCCCCCCTCCCGTCCTTGTCACAATCACCTCTCTAAATGCTTTATTCATTACATTTTCATTGTCTCGAATTTATGCACTGAGGAAAGTGGGCTCCCAACATTATGAATGTTGCTTAGCATGTCATTTCACTGCCACAGATGGAACTTTCCCCTCTCCCTCAGATCCGAGCAGCTTGATTCCACTTTCTGTTTTCTGCTCCACATCCAAATGGTCTCCATTTAACATCCCCTTCTTTTAGCACAATCTATTAAAAAGGTTGCTAAAGTGAAGGATCAAATGTTGTAACAAATACAGCCATGACAGCCCTGTGATAGCTGGTTCTGGTCACACAGAGGTATAAGCTGGCAATAACTGGTGATATCAATAATTACCCAAACTTATCTCAAGCTGACTGGAGAAGCAACATGTCACTTGTTACATAGAAGCTTAAATAACAAAAGTGATCTGAATAATAATTTAATATAATATATTGCATTTATATAATGATTTTGGTGAATGCAACTCAAAGTTTTCTAAGTTGAATTATTAACTCTGTTTTACAGATGAAGACATAACGTTGAAATGAGCTGCCCACGTTTGTGCTGCAGGTGAGTGGTACAGCTCAGAATGGTCCAGTGAACTGTCTGGAGAACTCTTTTGGCTCCCTTATTATTTACCTTAGAAGTCTTCAAACAGTAAAATGAAAGAGAAGGGGACATGAGAGGAAATTAAACCATATAAAGACAACTAGTCAGCCAACTCTTCCTCCTCAAAAACACAAAATAAAAGTTTCATTCAATCCCACAAACCCAGATGTCACCAATTAAGAGCAAAAGTAGGAACAGACAATTCAGGCCTTTTGTTGTTGTTTTTAAAAGTGGCTTTTCTATTGAAGCCATATCCATACATGTGATGCAGATCAGACTAATAATACACATTTCCAACTTCTAGTCTTTCTTTGTGATAACATTCTGTTCTGTGTTTGCCAAACAAAAGCTTAAATACAAATAAAAATCAGAATACTGAATGACAAATTCCAGCACTAAGAACTTGAATAAACCAGCAAATCATATCCCATATCCCAATTTCTAATAATGGTGCTGTACATAAATAAACAAGCTAAGAAGTATTTCCACTCGCTTCCAATGATACTTGACATTCAAGTGTTTTGCTCTTTTCAAAATACTAAGAGATAATTAGACTTTTTTTTTGTGTGTATAATGTTCGTATGGCTATTTCATTTCCCTCCTTGCAAATCTCTCAAGTTCTCTCCTGTGTTTCTTAAAAAAGCAGTATGCATGGGTCTTTCCTAGCTTTTTCTGGAAAGAGCTGGGCCTGAATGCAAAAAGCAACTTAAAATATGTCAATATTGGCTGTTGCTGTGCACAGTTTGTGGGCTTGGGCTCTGGAGAGGAAACTGAACTTTGTTGTAGACATGTAGTCTCCATGAACAGCACATGGGGAGATGCTTGACAAGAGCTACAGAAACTCCCTGGCTGCACAGAGTCACCTGGAGTAGTCCAAGGCCAGCTAGGAAAGAGCTGAGGTGAGGGGTGTGTGGTAATGACCCTGCCAAGCTGGTGAGCCAAAGGAAAATGTATGGGGAGGGCTTATACATGTTATTTTTCTTTCAAATTTGTCCCACTGCATGGCAGGACCACGAGGTTTGGGTGAGGGGGAGCAAGTGTCTCTCCACTGCAACAGCCTGCAACTTAGTTTGGCTTTAGTGTGTTTGAAACCATACCCTTATGCTTCAAAACCCTCATTCTCTTATAGCAGTGTAGGTCCAGTGGGAGTTCCATTAGGGTAAATTATGTAAATCCTGGGGAAGGGTGACTAGTTACTGGCATTCAGACATAACGAAACACACACATCCAGCACACGTGTGGTGATGTGTGGCATTAAACTTCCATTCACAGATTCAACCCCTTGACTGGCATTATGGAAATGTTCACTCAGGGTCACCCCTCCTTTCCAAAAGTAAACCTGAGGCTGATTACAGATGGCTTTGCGTCGGAATCATGTGAAACTCGTGGGTTTGAGTCCAGAGGAAACGTGGGAGGTTCTTGTTGAGATTTTAAGTTCACTTGAATTTGAAAATCAGGATGAAACTTGGGGAGGGAGAGAGTGAACACACACAGATCCGCAGGAAAGAATATTTTCAAGCCAACCCCTGTGAAATGCAGCTGCCAATGCCTTTAGAAAAAATCCTCACTCAAAAAATTTAATCAAAACACGTTCCTTTCTCTCAAAACTATGACTTTTAATGCTACCAAATATCCCTCTTTCCGTTTTGGGCAGTACCATTTTGTTTGAACAAATACAAAAAAAAAAAAAAGGATAAGGTGTTGCCCACTGTCCCTATTGGAGCTCTAAAAGCAGAGGAAAAGTATGTTTTAATTAATTTATAAACAAAAGATTATTTCCTGCACTGCCAGCAAAAATCCCGTTTGCTGACAAGGTTCTGGCTTCAAACATTATCAGCAACTGGCAGGATGAGTCCTTTTATGTAAATGAATTCATTATTATTAATTTCTGCTGGTGCTGAACGATTTATGAACTGCTTTTCGAATATGGAAAAGTGGTTCATGAATCAGAGGGGAAAAAAATGTTCAAAAAGTCCTGGGTCGATAAATAACAGTAGTCATTCATGAATCCCGCCCATGGTGTCTTTTATCTTCAGTAGAGAGAAGATCAAAATGATAAAATAGTAATGTGCCAACAAAAAAGGATTGAATGGGCAGAGACTAGTAACATTGTCCTCTTCGAGCCTTAATGGGCAGGGATGAATGGTGACAGACTATCCTTCACTAGCAGGCAGCTGCACACTCTCATTCTCCCAAGGTGAAAATGTTCTTTTTTTCCTGCCACACAGAGCCAGAATAAGAGAGCAGAGCCCCACTTGTCCCCCTGCCTTCACAAACATGCACAGGCTGTGGTTGAGGGATGGTGCTTTTCAAGGGATACAAGCCTATCATGCTATTACATTGTAATTGCAATCCTCCCCAGGAATCTCATGCTTCCCCTACGTCTTTTACACCTTGTCACTGCCAGTCTTCTGGGAATTAGGATGGTACCCAGTTCTTCTCTACAAGGGAGTGCAGCACCAACTGGATTTTAAAGACTCTTATTTGATGAACAGACATGAAAAGTAGTTGACTGAAAGTGAGAAATCTGGCAGCTGTTCACCTTACCCCTGCTCTCTGAGCATGCCACCAGCCCTCAGATTAGAGCCTTAAGGATAGTACATTGTATACAACAATTGACATTGGCCTTGCTTAATGAAGGCACTGTTTTTCACTTGTATTTGAAAAAATCAGGCTGAAACACAAAATATTGCATGTACCAGAAGTGAATTGTGGTCATAGAAGTCGTGTTTTCTCCTTTAGGTAATTCTCTGATCTGCAAGTGGTCAGAAAGAACTGGGCCAAATTTATCCCCAATATAACTTCTCTCAAATCACAAAGTTGTGCCCAGAATGGGTTTAGCCCATTATTATTTCAATGCAAAATACAGGGCAACTCTATGAAAATGAAGTAGAGAGGGTCATACAAAAAAATCTGTTCTCCAATTAGTTTTTCTTTCTACAGCTTTGATATACGAAGAAACTACAAGCGCATATCATGATTGTTTGCTCTTAAATAGCTTCAAAGTCCTTTCAGATATTAGTCACAACATCCTGTGAGTTATGAGAAATTCTATTTGCACTGAAGGTGAGAAAAATGAAGGAAAAGTTACTTGCACAAGGTCTTGAAAAGATTTTGGAAGATTCAGTAGTCAATCTAGAATAACTGATGACTTTTCCTATGGAACCAATACTCAAAAGTATCTTCCAGAAGAGGAAAATAAAATGATAGATTTGTAGCTGGTTTTTACCCTTATTCTTACGTATAATTCAAACTAATATTTCGTCTATTTTCTTTATTTCAGATTGCCAAAGGACAAAATCTTATGCTTCTGAGCTCAGCAATGAAGTTTTAATCACCCCAACATACATCTTTCCACAATATATATTTTTCTGTCTGCCGAAGACATAATGGCTGCTCCTTTTATGGGAAACCAGGATTTAATCCAGTAAGTCTGTGAGAATCAATATTCTTGTGAAATGACACCATGTTGAAGTTATTTTATGTTATGTTGATGGTTAGCTAATTTTGTAATGGAGACATTTCTTCTAGAAGCAGACATAGTATAATTTAGTGGTAAAAACGTCAATCACAAGGGGTTGAACACTTATGTCAGGGCAGGAAGAGGGCAGATTTATTGATGGAAATGTATCTATATACTCTTTGTGGCACTTTGACCTGAAATATCCATTTTGGTTATAATTTTGTTTTGTGAAAATGACATCAACTGCAATCACTAATGTAAAAATGACACTGGAATGCTTTGTTCCAGAGGCCTGATTTAAAAGTCCTGCTGCTGTTTGCTGTAGTAACAGCTTCTCAATAGCAAGGAGTTAAGGTACTCATTTAACTGCTCCTTTTCTCTGTTTGTAGGATTTTGTAACAGTTGACAACATGAGAAAAAACCACAGTGTTCTTTTTCTGTTGTTTATAATTGTTTAAATAATAAATATATAGCACGTTTTATAATGACATTGAAATAACCAAGAGAAGGAGATGGCGCTCTGGCTGGTACTGTGTGTGGATATATTCCTGGGTGGCTTTTCTTCATAATGCCAGTTAACCACCCACCCAAACCCATAAAAAATAACAATAGGAATGGATAGGAGAGAATGGAATAAAATAAGTACAGAGGTTGAGAAAAAATAAGTGGCAAGGATGGAGACAAAGAAAAAGCACTGTGTAAAATACGGGGAGTATAGGGATGTCTCATTTGTGACTTCAGCTTTTTTTTTAACAAAATTACAAAATCCTTATCAATTCAATGGACTCTGGTATTATTACTCCAGATTTACAGTGGTGTACCTAAAAACAGAATCTGACCAACTCTCAACTAAAATAGGAATAAATCATCAGGGGCAACATGAATTTTACAGAGAGCCTGTGCTATAATGTGAAGTACTGGCTATTGTCTATATTCTGCTGTATTATCCTTCCCCAGAACAGTGCCTTTTACCAAATAATATGGTGATACCCTAAATAGTAAAGGCTTCATCTATGGGCTGAGAAATCTGCACTTTAGTGTCAAGTGATTTTAACGCAATTGAAATTTTAATTTAGAATGAATAAGGATGGAGTCAAGCTTTCCTATCTTCTCCCCTTCCATATACACCCCTTGCAGGACTGTCATGCACAGCCAAGAGCTCACTTTTCTCTAACAATCATGTTTTTTCACTGAGATGTACAAAATTCATAATCTGCTTTGTAAATCTTAATTCTTGGCTCCTTTTCAGGCAAACAAAATGACAGAATCGGAGACCATCCAATGTCCTACTCTGGTGAGTCATAATGATTTTATCACTTAAATATAGAAAAACTGTTTAGAGTCTGGGTAGGTCACAACTTTCAAGCAGGACTAAAAGTGGGAATTTGTCCTGTATTTTAAGGCCATGATCCCCAAAGATGTTTCTTTTGAGTGGTGTTCTAAGCTTTCTATAAACTTGATTGACTGGAAGCAGTCCTTAAACAACTAAAGGCTGCTCATTAGAGACCACAGAGCACTGCTCATAATACCCCTGCTAGAATAGATCAGTAGGTACCAATACGAAAGTCTATTTGCACACTATCAAACACAGCTAGAACAGCTTGTTCACAGGTTGCCTGTCCTGTATCTCCATGTGGACTGGGAGGAGGTAGGTCAGGAAAGCATCCGATCCTCCCAGAAGTTAGGACTGCTCTTAGTGAGTGGTCACTGACCTACGCACTGAAGAAGAATCAAAATAAGACTGAAATTAGGCTCACTTTCACATTTTGACATCAGTTCATGGACAATTAGTATGTGCTGAAGAGAAATTCTGACTGGCAGGAAGATTAGAACAAATTCTTATTTAAGAAAAGAAGACTGTAGCTAATGTTTTGGTTGTTCGATTCTGCTTTAAAGCAGAATTTTTTTTTTGTTTTTTTTTTCTTAACCCTAGACATTTTAGTTCTGCCCATTTGCATAGGTAATATTGCTATCGTATTTATTCACGCTGCTCATAAAAGAGCACATCACAAAAGTGCCTGGAAAATAAAACTCCAATGAGAAGGGACCCATCAAGTTTAAATGGAGGTTTATATTGCAGCATTATGAGACAGAGGCTTGCACATTTGCAGCTCCCATGGCAGAAAGTGAAACTCTGAACAATTAAAGCAGCACAGACATCCTGCCCTAAAGGACTGTAAGCATTTAAAAAAACAGCCATGACCTCTCTTTACTGGGCCTGTTTTCTATTTAATTTACAGTCTTTATTAGCCAAGAAAATCTTGGCTGGATCTTAGTCAAAGTGATGAATATACAAGGATTTTGATCTACAATTTGGGCCACTTCAAAGTATTCTTTACTTTATGATCATTTGTAATCAAGGTCAGAGCTCTGGTGGTAATTTAGATACCACCTAAATATATTTATAATATAAAAATTGCTTTGCAGTAGCATGCATGCTGTCCTTTCTATTTTTGCTCATGGTAAGATTGGAGCTGCAAATGCTCAGGTTGTCTAAAAGTTACTCCTACGAGTATGTGTGAGCAACTCCATACATAAGTTTCTCTTATTCAGTTCCCACAATGACACACAAAAAATGGAGCATATATACATGACAGAAAGAAATTGTTTGTTTCTATTGGTTTGTTTATTGAAATATGAGCTTAATAACTTTATGGGGAGAAAAAAAAAAAAAAACCAAAGCCCTAAAACCTTTAAAGAGTAGTTTTTATTCTCTTTGTCTTCTCTTTTTCTTGATTTCCCATATTCTTTGCTCATGCACCGAGACATAAGCAGTTTCAGAAGTGTTCCCCTTTTCGAGTACAGGGACCCTTTCATGCCAGCAGCATCTTGCAAAACAAAAACTAAAGGTGTGACCACTGTTTAAACTCCATCATCTCAGGTTCTAGGCCCGTTTCTTCCTAGATATTATGTCTTTCTAGACATTATATCTTTCTATATATTTCTCTCTATGCTTGCTAGGAAAAACCTTCTGGTTCTTGTACTTCATTTCTACAGTCTGACATTTTGACAAGCTCAACTCAAACATTCATTTGAACCCCAGCACTGAGACCCAATTTCTTCAGCCTTGGCAGGCACAGACCTTGTCCGTTCACTCTGACACTGTTGCAGGAGTGCATTTTCAAAGTTAATATTGTATCGTGCACCCTTTCATCAGCTCCTTCTTTTCTCTTGCAGCCAAAAGCATCCTATGGATGTTTTAAGGCCCACATAAGCTCTTCCTGGGGGCCTTTTGTCCCTGTCACATCCATGAGGTACTGACAGATCAATGTGCATCCACTGTTCACAACAGATTTCATCCCTGATGTCTTAAATCTTGAACTGTACTCGTTTTGTTTCCTTCTGTGAGGGTCCACTCCTGTAAAAATCTGCCAAGCTACTACACTTGCCCTTCTTCACATCCTCCCTTAAAACTCTCCTCTGCTGTGACACCTTAAAAAAAATGATGGTGGTTAAGCAGCTGATGTGCTGTGACTGCATAGTGATCATAATTATCTCCCAGTTACCTTGTCATTTCTGCCCCTCTCCCCATCTGTTTGCTGTCACTTGTCTTTTGCTTAGATCAAAGACTCTTTGGGGTATGGACCAGGCCTGTATTTCCTGTGCATTTGGGTACTGTCCTGCACGAAGAATCTCTGGTTCTAGGCACTACTGCAGTGCACATAAATAAAAATTACTGTTTCTAAAGTAAAATCCTCTGCATTTTTGTATGCATAAATTATAGCCACATCCTGTAATCCATTTTTCAGGCTAAACAATTGACTTCAATGGGAGTTGAGCCAGAGTAGGAGTTGGCCTATAGTCTTTGCTCAAAACAAGCAACATAACATATTATTAATCACCTTAAATAGAGACTATCACATTCAGTGATGCAATCCTACCTGTGGAGAAAATAAATACCTTTCCAGAAACCTTATGACTTCTCTCATTTACACTAGGCCAGGCTGCTCTTAAGAAAACTATTGTTCTGCCAGGGATAACAAGATTGCAGTGACTCCCTGGTCATATTGGAGGTTGACAAAAGGGTGGTGAGTACCCAGAAGAGTCTGCTGTATGCCACCCTGTCTTTGCCCAAGGGCTCTAGAGGTAGTTCTTTCTTCCTATTCAGAGTTTTTATCTCCCATTAGAGCAACAGCCCTTCTGGGGGCTGTAGTTTTGGATTTTATTCTGAATTTTGTTCAAATTGATCTTTATCCATACTGCAACCACAGCCCTAAAGCTGCTGGTTATAATTCTCCAAAGTCTGGGGGAAACAATCAGTGTGGCCAAGAGTGAAGCTTGAATCCCTTTGTACGTGCCTGCATCACAACTGTTGGTGGGGAGAGGTGTTTGCAGGGGCCGCTGTCTCCTGTCCTGTTCCTGAGGAACCACAGCTGTGTGCTTCCTCCCATGTAACTTGGAAGAGCTGCAAAGGAGAGGAAAGCCAAAGCCAAAAATAAAAACATGCGCAAAAGCAATGAGCAAAATCTGCCAGAATCAGGGAGCCGTTGTACTGCTGGAGATGAGCCAGAAATCTGTGGAAGTCCCCTATTAATGCAATGGCTTGGTTGCAATTGCTTCCCCCCCCCCACCCCACCCCTTCCTTCCCCAGGTGAATCTTGTCTTGCACGTATAAGACAGACCACAAAAAGCACACACACTTTTTTTCCACAGAGTTATAATGCTTGTTTTACAGGCTTTCTGCCTGAAAGTATGTTTTTCTCCTCTTCTCTTGCAAATTTTGGGGCTACCTAAGTTGCTGATGTGTGAAAGTCAGACAAGCCCTTAACATACTCAGTTACTCCAGTCTGTATATGCTTACTTTCTACTCAAATTGATTGTTATTTTAACAAAGTACTAACCTTAAATAAATGTTCATGGATCAGGTTGCTCTCCACTTTGTGCCAGTGTTTAGGTCATTAGGTGCTGGGCGGCAAATGAACCATGCAGATAAGACCTAATGTTAAATATCTGCGATTTTTTTATAAAGGGAAAAGTTCAGGAAGGATAAAAAACTCATTGCTTCAGACCAGAAGACAGCTATTGACTTCCTAGCACTAGGAAGGAACCTTCTGAAGCATTTTCAGTTTGCCATCATCAGGAACAAGGTGATCCTGGTCTGATTCAAAACTGCCTGTTTCCACTGGCATAAGGAAAGTGCTCGTAGCAAAACTACTCCAGTGGAACAAAGCATATATATGGGAACAGAAGTAAACTCCTGGTTCCTCTCTAGCCTTTTACAAAAGGACATAGCATTTCTTTCTAGAAAAGGGAGTTGTGGTTTGTGGGTTTGGTTTTCTTTTTCCCTCGAAGGACATAAGAATTGTATAAATTTATACTGAACTAATTTTTTACTATATTCTCAGTAATGTGTCTCTATATACATATATTTTGGGGTTACTTCAGTCAGTTCTTTCTGTGTTATTTGGGAGAAATTTGTTTAAATATTTTGAGTGGAATACTATGGTGTATCTGAAAATTGCCTGTTCTTTCCTATTTGAGAAAAGCATGCAGTACTGAGTAGATAAAGCAAAACTTTGTATTTATTTTAGATAATTTAGTCTCTAATTATACAAAAGTGATGAGATACACAGAATCTGACCCAGAATTATGACTAGAAAATAATAATATTATCCTAATTAAAAACCATATAAGAGTTTGTTATCCAGCCTCAAATCCCTGACAGACTTGTACGCTCAAATAATCGCAGCATTTGCAGGCTAAACATTTAGTAAAAGTTTCATGGAAAAAAAATCCCTAATGATTTCTCAGCGTTTTTTAATATTGTGCCTCTTCTATAACAATGATGGCTTTTGGGGACTCTTGCTCACTTATGGGACATGTGGGTCATTGGAAAGCTTGAATATTCATTATGAGATGAGCTGGAACTGGATGTGCAATATGTTTGGTTGAGAACTAAATTTTATGTAAATTCTACAGTGATGTTTTCTGGCTCAGTTAGAATCCATTCTACTGTTTATCTTTATACTAATAATGGTCTCTTGGGCTTCTTTTTAAGCATCTCTGTATACTTTTTTTTTTCTTTTAAAATGAAAGATGAAGATCCAAAGAAAACAATTTTTAAAGATAGAAATAGAAACACTAGGTAAAAGGAATTAGCAATGCAATCTCTGCATATATTATGTGGAAATCTACTGCAAAATTGCAGCTTGGAATTTTATTCCTAGGACATTAACTTTTTCATGTTTGAACAGCGTTGCTGCTTTGGTCCCCCATTTTTAAAAAAACCCTTTGGGTCTGCTTTTTATAACTATTTCTGCATATTTTTGTAATATTTGTTAAAATATTCCTTCTCCAGAATGGTAAACCCAGTTCTCTGGAAGAAATAAAATCTGTGGCATAGCTCTGAAATGAGAATTAACCTTGATTACTACAGTAATTTACTAATCAAAACTGGAGACCTGCTAATCAAGCCTGAATTACCAGCTGCTTGATTTTTATAGTGACATAACCAAAATTGAACATTTGGTAAACAAGAGTCTTATTTATGAGGGGGGGGGAATTGGCATATGGCCATATTCATTTTAATATATTTATCACTATATTGTTGTGATTTCCTTATCAGCTGATGTAGGCATAACTTCAGCCATGCACCTCACCCTGGAAAGACGAACATTTAATTCTAGGTTAACCTAGAATCAGAGTCAGAGTAGACTATTTCATATTTTAAGGGGTTTTCTGATCTACCTGTTGTTTTTGGACCCCGGGAGGAGAACGACTGATGCATCACAACAGCCTTGTGTTGTAGAGCTGGTTAGAAAAGCACCTTGGAATAAAAGGAGCAGAAAACTGGAAACAGAAACAAGAGAAATGGAGAAGTGCCAGCGAGCAGACAGCTGGGAAAAGCTGCAGGAGGAGATGGCAAAGAGCATCCATGGTGAGCCCAGGGCCAAGGGGGAGCAGGAGGCTCTGGAGAGGCAGGAGAGAAGGAGAGGACCCAGGGGAAATGGTGGGAGTGAATCACCGAGGGCCTGATGGAGGAAGGCACTGACGGCTCCTGCGAGTAAGTGCATCGCTTGTGCAAATGGACAATGTGCCAATTATTGCAGCCTATCTGATGGGTCTGGGATTTTTTAAAGTAGTTGTCTGGTTTCCATAAGTGCAACTAATTTCATGTTTTTAATCATTTTTTTTTTGGTCTGATTTCTGTTCATTTTTTCCAGCTCCCAGATGGCATCCTGTATCCACTGACAGAAAATAATTTCCCAGTATTTTCTTTAATGAATGACCTATTATGAACAAGCAGGGAAAACCCATATTGTGCAATTCTTCCATAGAATAACCGATCATTAATATAAATTGAGAGAAGACCCCAAAATGGGATTTTTTTTGTTATTTGAGCTGTGTACAGTATTTTATTAAGGTGGCTTGTGTGTTTTTTTAAAATGTCTTGTTCAAATGATATTGTCATGGGTAACTGTGCTGTTAAAAAGAGGTAAAGAACAGAAACACGAAAAAGATTATTCCTAGAATAATGTGTACAGCATGAAATTCTCAGCTAGTCAGGCTCTTCCTCATTCTCTGCACTTTACTTTAGACCTAATCCCTCATTCTCTCAATTCTTAGCATAGATAATATATACCAAAGCTAGTGCTGCTTCCATTTTTTCACCATCTTATCTCACAAACCTGAAATACTGTTTTTCCCTTTAAGTCTTGAATGTACTTATGCCTAACAGGAACGAAGGAGCACAGGGATGAATTGAAATGAGTGAATGGTTTATAGCCTATTTAAACCTTGGGAAACACGTGTGTGTAGTGACTGTATGTTTAGACACAGCCCTGCAAAGCTGCAAGGGGCCACAGCTCAGCAAGTGCAGCCCAAATTAGAGCAGCAAACTTACCTGCTGGGATCCATGGGCAGGCTTCAGAGGGGTTTTAAGCATCAGGAAAATGTGACCAACTACAAGGTAAACCAGAGTGCTGTTCCTAATATTGTGTACTCTTGGCAGGAGGGGCATCCATGAGGTTAAAGAGTCCAGATCTTAGGGATGCATGCTGTAAGTGCACTCAGAAGGCAATGACTTAGAATATTTGGAAGGCTAAGGAAATAAGAGTGAAATAAGCAGCTTAGAGTTTATCAGGGGGGATATTTCCCCCAACAACTGGAATAGGGCTCAGCTCCACTCCAGTTCACATCCCTGCTTCCCCCTAAAGCCACATCTGTGCACCCAGAAACTTTCCTCAGTATTGGCTTACTTATTTAGGATGACTTTTACCCACCATCAAAACTTCAGAAGCCCAACAAATCTACCTGGAAATCTGAACTGTTTCAAACTGCACTGGAAGATAACAGGAGCTCCACAGAGACAAGGAGCATATGAAGTCACTGAGGAAGGAGTACTTGCAAGGAGGGAGTGATTGCTAGGGAGGAAGGCCAGAGAAAAAGTGGAAAACAACAACAGAAGTAGTGGCAGAAAAACTGGGAAGAGGGAGCAAAAATGGTAAAGTGACACCATAATGCTTTACTGTCTCTAAAGCAAGGGAAAATTGTGAAAGCATTCATTTATTCATTTTCAACCAAAGAAAAAAACTAGGGCATAAAAAGAGGAGGCAAAAAGAAAGCACAGAAAGTAGAACATGTGAAGGAAAAGGGCAGCAAAGAAAGAGGAAATTCAGAGAAAGGAGAAACAAGTGCTGGAAGTAAAGGAGTAGATGGTGGGGGAGGAGGCAGCACAAAGAGATTCGACATACAGGGCTTTTAGGTAAGTGAATTTTATTTGTATATGTCATTTCCTACTTTTTATTGCATTTCTTTGGCAACCATCCCACAGTTCCATAACGTATGGGTGGGTGGGAGGAGGTGGCTAAGAGGGCAAAATGGCAGTTTTTGGCAGAATATTGACATGACTTGAGTCAGGTCATTACTTGTGGTTGTCATTAGACAAATAGTGAAATTGGGTTAATGGGGCAGGTGTTTATGAATCCTACAGGCTAGAGGAAGCTCAGCTTTCAAAACCTGACTCACATAGAAATGGGAGAGGCCCAAATGATTCAACGCAGTGAAAGCAATGGTGAGCAGTGATTTCAGTGCTGCAGGGCCCACAGGGACACATTTCAGATTTATGAGATAGTTCCCGACTGTCAGATGTGCTTCAGCCTCCCAGCAGACCTTGGAAGGTGGACACCGAATAGGTTTCTGTCTTGTTAACTTCCTTCTTTGCAACCATCAGATGGAAATATTTTTTGTAGTGCAAAATGAGATCCTGAAGCACAGGTATATGGCAAAATATGACTTTCATGGAAAATGTTCTGAACTCCATCTTTTCTGGGTACCTTGGTTTATTTTTGCCCTCTGTTTGACTCTTTACAGGCTTTTTTTCCTAATTATCTTGAATTTTAAGTGGAAACATTTCTCAAACATACAGTATCAAATGAAATGAGTTAGGATTTTTGAAGACTTTAGAACTCATGCAGAAGCTGCCATCCTGAGTCAGACAAAATGTCCATGTAGACCAGTGCTTTCCCTCTGAGAGTGAGAGGAGCAAATGTCTAGGGAAAAACTGTATGAACTCTGATATATCACTCATATAGAGCAATCCTTCTTCCCCTGTGTGCTCCTGGCCTCTGAGGATCAGTGTCAGAGACATTTTGATTTGGAGGCTGGATCTTGATCATCATGTTTAGTAGCTGGTGATGGATTTCGTTTGCATGATTTCATGTAATCCCTTTTATGGTCCATTTACACTTTTGACCTCCACACCATCCTGTGGCCATGAGTTCTGTAATTTCATTATGCGCTGTGAGGATAAAATACTTCTTTTGTTTGTTTTAAGACTGATGCCTGGTCATTTAATTGGGGCTTCTAGTCCTTGTATTTGTGGCAACTGTTGAATAATGGCTCTATATGTTAGAAATTAGGTTTTTGAAATAGAAAATCTCTCTTGCAATTTTAAAACCTTATGATCAGGCAAGCTCTTCCTCTTGTGAATCTTGCCATGAAAAAAGGAAAAATTCCCAACTCCAACTGCAGTCTGATGAAGTTAGAATTAATTAAAGCAAAAATAGCTTTATAGTGTTCATACTGCACAGATAAGTAGCCTTAAACTTGTATGTCCTATATGGTTCACGTCTTATGTCACATCACAGTGCTCTTATCATTTCCATAATATATGAAATAATCCATTTGTAATGCCATGATCTGTGGCACTACTATTAAGTCATAAGTGTAGCAATGGGAGAGTGTGTTCACTGAGTTCTCTGCAACAGCAAGAAGGGAAAAGGCCTGGAAAGTCAATTCAAAAGCTAGGGCTAGACTTTGAACAAGTCACCTGAGCATGGACAGACAGCAATGTACAGTGGGGTGGACTAGGGTGTGAACTCAGAGCTTCTCAGAAGCTTTGGTAATTTCCATTTTCACATGCCAGCTCCCTGGTACCTGATGTAAATGTGATTGTTTCTTTTCCACCTGCACCCAGGCTGTGTTGTGCTTGGTGCTGGGTGAGAGCCTGTGTGGGATGCTCTCTGTGGGGTGGCTGACAGGGCTGTGCTGTGCACCCTGTGGTGATTTGCCTGTACACCTTCACCCTTGGTTCCTTGGCCTCTGTGGTCCCTGGCCGGGTAGAGAAGGAGCCGGTAACTGTGTGGACTTGTCTGGCACAGCAACAGGAGAGGTGAGCCTGAGGGAGCTGGAGAGCCATCCAGAATGCAGGAAGCAGTGTGGAAGGATCTGTGCTTTTCCCCAGTCTCCCATATTTCACCCTGTGCAGGCAGGAGCAGGAAAGAGAGACGATGTGAGGCAGTGTTTCCATCTTCCTACAGCTGGTAGTTATCCAGCATCCTCTCTGCAGCATCTTCCAGTTCTGTGTTATTGTGTATCATTCCAGTCAGATTGCTTCAGAGAGAGACAAAGAACAGATTCCAGGATAAAATCAAAACTGCTCCAGAAATGCACTGTGTGTGGCAGTATTTGGAGCAGTGGTGAGAGGTTAAAAAAAGAGTTTGACCCTAACCCAAGAATCAAATTTAATGTCAGAGAATTTAATGCAACACAAGGTGTGGTGGAACAAAGACTGTTGGGGGGTCTCGTTTATATTCAGTTATGATGAGCGATATTCAGCACTTAAAAAGAAAAACAGTGCAATGGCTTTCACTGAATTGTATGAAGAAACAGGATAACTTTAACAAATATCACAAAACATGTCACAAATCAATTGTATTGAAAATATATTGGGTTTCTTTAAAAGAAAAGATCAGAAAAGGAAGCAGCACAAGCAGGAGGAGAGACAGCACACAAAGATTTACTTCTGAGTGCTACAAAATATTGAACTAAAAATAACATTAAAGATGAAATTTGCAATGAATCTCAAGCTGCTATATTCCCAAAGGCTGGGTCTGCCAAAGGCTCTGTTGGTTTCCTCTGTTCTTTTCTGTCTTTATTTAAATATTTTATACAGTTGTCTATGTTCATGTGTAGCGCGAACTGTCATTTATATTTCAGTCCACTCTAAAATGGATCTTAGACTATCTCAAGCTGTGCGCTGCAGAGAGTAGTTTTGAACTGAGAGGTAAGCTGAAGTGGTAGGGACAAATGAAGACTGATATTTAATGTAGTTTTTGTGTACTCATATTTTGCTGTCATGTATTTTGCCTTAAAACTGATTTGTAATTTTCTGCGTTTTCTGACATTATGATAAGATGTGATGCGAGAGTGGTTTCCATTTAGCAAACACGTTGATGTATTTTTGAGTCAGAGTGGCTGAATTCTGAATTCTGACCTTAGGGTTTAATGTTTAGCAATAACAACATGCAAGTTTAGATCTGCAGTCTTAAATGCTCCTCCTTGTGCTTTGGGCTTGCCAAGGTCAACTTTTTAATATTAGACAGTCTTAAGCTTATTTTAGAATCACTCCTCTGGTAGGCCCACAGGGTGCTTAATATCCTCACGACTCCATTGTCTTAGGAATACAGGGCTCACCTTACATAGAAAAACTGGGACTCACCGTGGAGCTGGATGCTTGGGAGAGATTCTCTCACCCTTCTGGTGTTGGGGGAGGAAGCAGAGAGACCTGTTATATCCCCTACAAATTGCAGCAGCCGTGGTGGCTGGGGCACAGCGAGAGCTTCCTAATTGCTCCCTGCAGGGTGGGAGACACCCGAGCTGGGGCTGGAGGGGCACGGGAGGCAGAGCTGAGCCACCAGCCCAGCACTGACAGGGTGATGGCATGGATGGGCTGCAATCCCAAAAGGAGAAAGATTTCCCGTAAGGGACGGTGGTGCTGCTGTATCCTGACCTTAAGTCAGTCCTGTTGCTGATACACTGTGCTGTTAGATTAGGTAAGAAATGTTAAGATATATTGAGGTGAGATTCTGGTGGGATTCTGCATTGTTTTTACACCAGCATGAGGAGGAACAAAATTAGTAGTGTTGGACTCCATTTCATCGATTCTTATAAAAGAAAGAATTCTTAAGAAATTATGTTGCTTTCTTGCTTCTGAACAGTAAGTCATACAGAATAAAAATTTTAAATAATGACTATTAGATTAGGAAGTCTAAGAAGCTTTTGCTACTTGGGAGCCTTGACTATTAAAAATTGATAAATTGCCACTGAAATACAAGCAGCTCTGCAATATGATAGATCAAAGTTCATTTTTTCTCCTAATGCAGAGTTAAGATGAGCAGAGTTACTTTTTGCTCATCTTCTTTGCAGATCAAAAACATTCTTTTCTTTTTATTTGAGTGATCAGTGTACTAGAAGAGCCCAATGTATATGTTGTGACTGCAGTAAAATTCTTATTCACAAGCCCTTAAGTAGTAATACAGCATTTTGGCATTATGCAAACCTCAATACATCTCAGCACTGCTGTCCAAAGTGTATAGTATGTCTCCTCCACATAATACTGATGTAAAGGTAATTAATTGTAGTGCATGAAGTGATCTTTCCTAAAATATTTTGACCACATTATTAAAAAGCTAACTCTTCTCAGTAGCACTTCCACACCGAGTTAGCAGAAAGACTTCAGCATGTTGTGTTTTAGTGGACTGTATTCCATAGAAAGGACTAGAATGCCTGAAATGTAAACCTTGGAAAGACTTTGCTCATGGCTTTTTCCAAATCTGTTAATTGCATGTCAATGTAGCTATATGAGGTTTTATTTTTTGTGTGTAATAGATAACTACTATTATTTTCCAAGCATTTATAAATCCACTCTGTGCTAATTTGCATTTTTTAAAACCTTATAAATTAAGTAACACTAATCTATGTAATGAACATGCAACATTAAACACTTTTAAGGGCAGCAAATATGATCATATCCTTCAGAAAATATTTCTAACATGTGTGATTTCCAACCCACTAACTTACTTGTAAGTTGTATAAAAGCTGCAGTTGATAACAAGGTCTTGTGTATCTGGATCTTTGGGTAAACAGTGTCTGCCAGTGTAGCTGGAGGAGACAGACATTTCCATTTTTAAGATCAGTTCTGTGAAGAAAATCCTTATGTGGGTGTCCACAACCTGGCAGCTGATCTGAGGTCAGGCACAGTGTGCACACACTGCCATAACACCCTTCACCCAAGGAGGAGGGAAATCCTGCTTGTGGCCCCATGAAGGTTCAATGCAGCAAAACACTTAAGCACATAATTAGTTTTAAACGTAAGGGGTGATGTATAAGTTAGAAATATACTTTGCTTGAAGATGCAGGATCAAAAACATATATTCTGGAAGGAGGTACATAATGCATGAAAATATATTGTATGGGAAAACATTTATAGATAGCTAGATAGGAAATGATGTAAGCCTTTGATTTTAGTTCAAGGAATACTTACATTTACAGTATTTTATTTCACATTAGTCTTCAGTAGTCTGCCATACTCTGTATCTGGCCATGAAATTTTCATCTATGTAGTCTTAATCTTTGGAACATAAAGATTTACCATCTCTGAGCCTGATTTGGCTCATCTTGGAGTTGATGACAGAAAACCCAATTTTGCTCTCAAAGGGCATGATTGGACCAGTTAACATTTATTTAAGCCTTGCAGAAGGACATATTCCTGATTTTATATATAAAGTGTGCCAAAATAAGATTAAGAGACTTTGTGAACATTGCATGGTAAGTCAGTGGCACGTAGTCATAGAACTAAGAATTCCTTCCTTCCTGACTCTCACTTCCTGGTTTTATACTGTACTTTGGATAATGTGTCTGCATTCCCACAGCAATATTCTTCTGGCACACGATAATGCAATAGTTTTGAAATATGCTTTTCATGTGATGTGTGAAAACATAAAATCTATAGATGTGCAGTATACATGGATAAAAGAATTCATATTACAATATGTAGCTACAAGCATAATAAATGGAAATTGATGAAAAGGGAATCTTTCTACTGCTGGGATTTTAGGAATTAGACAAATGTGTGTAGTTCAAATAAGGCAGAATTTCTGCTTCTTGTCACAGGAAGAGCGATGAACATGTATCAGAAGAGAAAATCAGCTGCTGCTTGGTAAGTACCCTATGATTTTTCTTGACTGCTGCCATTTGGGCCCTACCAAGTCCAGTACTTACTGTGCAGATCAGGGCTGTGGACTCCTTACATCTGTCATATGAAAAGACAGTCTTAGAAAAACTAGAACTATAGCAATACAATACCATTTCTTCAGAAATATTTTTATTAATTAATTTGCTCTGCAAGTGGAAGCTAACTCAGTATATTCGTGAAGTTAATTCTTGGTCCAGTCTTTTCATCTTGAAGGCAGAAGAGAATCCCAGAGAAGTGACACTGAATGCTATTTTTCTCCTATTTTTATAAGCAGTCATTGCACAGTGCAATATTAGGTGAAGCAAGTCTTTGATCTAAATGTTTATGCTAAGTGGTTTTAATTCTTATTGTTGTTTAATGCTAGTAGCAGTAGTAATAGCCTAAGTAGGAGTATTACTGGAAGGCCCTCTGTAAGGCTCTGCCCAAGGAGCTCATTAAAGGATAGCACTCGGGAGATGATGCCCTATCCAACAGGAATCAGCAGGACACAGGAACTACATCCCGTACCATGAATAACAAAAGAAAGGGTAGTTTACATTCTTTGATACATTTCTGCTCGATTAACCCCCAGTGGGATTTTACCCCTCCAGTCACATTTTTTTGTTCCTCTAATCTTCTTTTGTGTTTGCTCACTGACCCCAAGCATGTATTTGACTTGTGACCCTATTTCTGTTAATAAAATACAGGCCATCTGACCAGCATTCGCACCACTCAGCTACAAGGTGATGATTACCTCATTGTAAATGCTCTGAGTTAGCAACTCCCAGTGTAAGGCTGGTGGCTGGGTGGGCTGAAGATAACCAGTGGAGGCAGCAGAAGCATAATCTGAACTGTGATTTCGAAACCGAACTACAGATAATAAACTCCTTCAAAATATGTAACTCTGTCCGTAGAAGAATTGTATATCTCCTTATGTATTGTTCAGCTATTAATTAGTTGATAATGTTTAGGGGATTATGGCATGACAAAAAACAATTATAGCTATAATGTGGAAATTTTCAGTGTCTGTATGGGTGGTAGCTTATAAAATCAGAATTATCCTATTTCCATTTTGGGTTATCAATTATAATAATATGCCTCATGAAAAAAATACATCAGCACTCAATGGTAATAATTTCAGTATAATGTTTTGAGGCTAAATTAACACTTGAAAGCATAGGTGAGCTCTTTCCAGGCAAATATTTGTTTTTAAAGCACTAGCAGACATGCAGGATGTTTGTTTTTTTTTTTAAGAAAAGGCATAGTAATGAACTTATTCATGCTTTCACCAAATCCTTAAACCATGAATCTTATGAAGAACACTGTTAATTGTGTGTTACATGAAAAAATCATGCCAAAGCCATTTATCAGACATGTAATCTGTGTCTCTGTTTTGTGACAGGAAGCCATTATTTCCACTGAAAAAACAAATCCGTTAAATTTGAACTATTAGATTACAGCAGGGTTAAGGCTGCTTCTGTGCTGTAGAGTCACATCAGGGTCACAGCCCAGTTCGAGAGATGTACTGCAAGAGCTTCATATCTGATTAAGACAAAAAACTGATAAAAATGTAATGCAGACTAACAATATGGAATTATCTGATGCAGTTTGGGGGGATAGGGGCAGGGGGTATAACATCATTCAGTTTATTTGCATATGTTTGTTCTTTCTACTGAAATCAATCTCTTTGAAGGAAGCAAGAAAACTTTAGAAAAAGAAAATATTATTAATGCTGGTAAGAGAACACAGAAGAAAATCTTTAGTAAACATTTCTTTTCCAGTGTTGATTATCATTCTGTCTAATGTTTATTTTCATAGTTTTCTTTGATCCAAACACAAATAACAATAAAGTTAGCTTCATTTCTTTGAACTAACAAAACTATACTGTGGCCAAATTTGGAACAAATTTTTAAGTGGCTTTTTTGTTTTTCTTCAAAGCCACATACCAGATTTATAGAGTAGATATTTGCGTAACTCACACCCTCTCCTATATAGGAATGTTTCTATGGCCAACAGTAATTTACCTGCTGTGGGCCTCCTCCTGACTGTGTTGAAAGGCTGAGGGCTGTGAACATCTTGGGCATGTACTCAATAGTGGTCCAGGGAGCACCAGTGACCAGGGCTCTGGGTCAGGGCTCACCCCCTTGTGTTATGGAAGTTGTTACAGTTTGTAGGGATGGAGTGTGGCTCTGTGGGGGTGGCTGATGGGTTTAAACCCAGAATGGGGTCAGTGTACCCTCACTGCAGTTCCTGGGCACGCAGAGAGGCAGGGCAAGGGTGGCAGAGCACCAGCTCCGTGCCCATGGGACCCTCTGCTTAAGGGGAGCTGACAAGGTGTTGTTACTGCTCCTCACTGCTGGACCAGAACCAAGCACAGGTTCTGTCTTCACAATCTGCTCCCATCAGAATCTGACAGACAAGTATCTACCATAGACTTAGAAACAACTACATTCCTAATGTAAATATTGTACAGTTGTAAAATATGTACTACAGTATTTACCACAGTGCTTGAGACTAGGTCTGCATTGCTGGGGGAGTTTTAGTCTGTACATATTTTAAAACTCTGCCAAATCACAGATCTGCTTAGGAGACTTGGCAGTACTTGCTGGGGCAGTGGTCAAGAGTCCGTACCAGTGATGGAAAGCATGTATGTCACCCTCAGATTACAGCCAGCATCTATTCTGGCTATTCTGTTCAGCCCTCCTGCATGCAAATATTGGCTCTGAAAGTGGTGAAAGTTATGAACAAAGACCACGATGTCAGTCAGGAACCACAGCCTCAGTCAATCAGCTACAGAGGAGCCATATGCTGGATAAACTGACTGCTTTTAAGATTTTTGAGGATATGATACAGAAATATGTATCCAAATCTCACTATTATTTTGCTCTCCCATTATATTCCCATGTTTGTCCCACTGCTTAGCCTAGCTGAAACAAGGGCATCCAGGCTAATGATTGATTGCCTCTGTGAGTAGGTCCAAGTTTCATTCTTAAATCAGCCAGCATGTGGTTGATGACAGGGACAAAGCCAACCCTCATCACTCCCTAAGCAAATCATCTTCTGCTTTACTGTACACTTCGACCAAATTATGATTTCACCATTGAAATAAGTGTCAAAATTTCCACCAGCTTTGAGTGGATTTGGATTTGGCCATTGGCTTCTAGGTGCAAATGGCCTCTTAAAGGGCTTACTTTTTAATCAGGAGATGTTTAAGTGCTTCAAGAGAATATAAAAATAGTAATGAATGCAAATGACATGAGATCAGGTATTGCTAAAAAGTGTCATTAGAGAATGTTTAAGATTAAATCAGAACTAATACTAGTGCCTGCAGGTGACTCACACTTAAGCAAAAATGAAAATTTGGGTTCTAAACTGTGAAGGAGAGTTGTTGGTGAGGCTTTTTACTTTTTTTTTTTTCAGTGAAGGCATTGTTGGTTGGGTTGGAGAGGTTTTTAATACATATAAAAAAATGAGCAGAAAGCCTTGTAGATGGGTGTAGTAACATCTGCCTGACTCTGCAGAAACCTGAAGCAGCAGCAATGAGAGGTATAATGCTTGAAAACTAAAGATGGTCAGCTATGCCATGCTGAAAACTCAGGCTATGTTACAGCTCAGAACAAATGGGAATCCATGTACAAATAAATAGTGCATAGCTTACTGTAGTGATGGCCCCATTTGGGAGGGGTTGTGTTTGCATTCTAATATTCAGCTAAATAATATTTAATTTAATGTTCTATTATTTTTATATTCAAATGAAATCAAATAGTTGTTGTGATAACATGCATTGCCACTGATGGCCCAGGCTGAGGTGGGTGTGAAGGAAGCAGGTGATGTCCTGGCCTAGCTACTTTGTAGAGTAGGTCTGCCTTGAAAATTCCTCTTGAAAATGTAGGACTACTGTGTTCTTCACATCTAGGGTCTTAAACACGAGTTGTGCCTCGAAAATCTTATGTTATATAGTCCCATGGTAATTCTTCTTCCTTTATCTCTAGTAATTTTCCTCTGCTAGGTCCCGTCTGTCCCTTCTGCTCAGCGGGGGAGGTTGTTCCTTTTCTTTGTTCTATTAATTCTCTCATAGCTACTATCTACTACGTTCCATGTAACATCCACATTCAAGCTACTAAGCCAGTGTTCAAGTATATTAAATCCTCCATTTTAAAACAATAATAAAAGGGTTTTACTAAATAAATACATAGAGCTTCTCTTAGGTCATGCAATAAGCAAACTGAATATAGAGCTAAAGTTCCCCGAACTTGGGAGGACAAAGGAGCAGTTTACCACAGAGCATTTCCCAACACTCAGAGCTCTGATAGTCCTTAGAGGAAATAATAAATCTTTCTCTTTGTCGCTCTTCTCTAGGTTTCTTTTGTTGTTTAGGATTGAAAAAAATAAGAAGTGTAGGTACTACTTACAAGGCAGCTTCCTTGATGTTTCTGGTAGTCCAATCAAGGGACAAGATTGTGTGTATAGGAAGGGGAGATAAACAGTTCATCCTGTAAAGGAATTAAAAACAAAAGTGGAAATCCTTTTTAAGAAGAAGAGTGGTGGGGATTATACCTGCATGCTTTCACTAATGACTTTGCAAACATTTAGCCAGAGATAACCTAGAAATCCAGTTGCACTTTATTTAATATTCAGATAAGGACCATTCACCTGCTGTTAAGCTACAACATCTACAATCATTCTTTGAATACTGATAATTATATGAAGCAGGCTTCCCCAGAGGCTGGTAGTCTAGTCTGGATTCACCTGGAATACAAAGATGAATAATATTGCATATTACATGCACCCAAGTAGTTGCAATTTATAGAAATGTCCATTTATACTCCTGAAAAAAAGATGTGTATTTCCCTAGGGATATAGTATATGGTGATAAAAACCTGTGTGGGGGACTGTTTGGATTGTAACTCCTAGTGTGCCCGTTGTTGATTAATTGATAAACAAATAAATCATTATATTTAGCCAGATATCTCACTACAGGCCCACAAAAGAGAAAATGTTAAAAAGGAATTTTGTGTGCCTCCCCATAAGGAAGGGTTACTCAGAGACATAAGAAATGAGTACTAGAAGTGGCATCCAAAGGCTCCGAGTCGATGTGTGTACACATTTCTAAAGGATGAGTAGCATTATGAATATGCTCTCCTTGCCCCCTCCTTTCCTCCTCTTTCTCCCATCAGGTGCCTTGTCCTTGTTCTCCCGTCTCATTTGCTGATGGCTGATAACACCTTATCTCCACCAGGGAAGCAACTGGGAAGTTTGCTCCTTCCTCACAAGACTGAGGGTATAATTAGAACCACGCACCTGCTCAGTCCTCCGGTGACTTGGTTAGTCTACATCCATGTCAAAATCCATGCTGTGAGGGTAATTTGATCATCTCACTTACTTTTTTCATATACTTTATATGAATAAACCACCAGTACAAGCCTCCGTTGAGTTGGTTCAGTTTAATCTCACAAATTTGTGTCAACTCTTTGTTGCCAGAAGAATTTTATCATTTGATCTCATGCTTACACTTTAGTAGACTTTAGTACATATTTTATTTCACTCTCCAGAATATAAAATTCCATTTTGTGTCAAAGTCATCTTTTTATTATTATCTATTTATATTTCTGAGATACTTACAGACTTCAACTGAGATCAGGGTCTTGTTGTATGAGACAATACAGAAACATGCAATAAAAGAATTCTAGTCCCAGGAGCCTTATAAGCTGAATAAAGGCTGAGAGAAAGGAAATATTCCCTCTTTTTACAGACGGGAAACCAAGGCTCTGACAATCTCTCTGTACAACGCAGTGTTGTGCCATACAGTGATACTGAAGAGAGAGTTCTGAAAAAGCAACAAAGTCCAGAAACTATGCAAAATGAAGGTGGATTTAAACCCTATTATACTGGCAAGCATCTATTCAAGTCCAAATAAGTCAGAGATGCACACTAGTTTCATTTGCACACTGAGCATCCCAAGGCTCTCTTGGCCTTCTCCATCCTCATGTGTCTCCCAGAACCCCTTGAAAGGCAGACAACGCCGTTTTTTTGAAGCTGTCTTAAGCTTGTACAAGTTTGCCACTGCTTCCTCTAGCACTTAACAAAAATGTACCTCAAGCCCTGCAATGCCACAGGGGTGTCAAATCTCTCTGACTGCAGCAGCTTCCAGGCTCAGCAGAGATACATCAAGGGTCTGTTGGGTTCTCCTTCCCAGCATCCGAAGGGTAACGTGATCTTTTTGTCCTTGGACAGAGCCTGGAATCTCCTACATTAGAACACTTCACTGCTCCCAGAAGGCCCTGTAAGATCCCAGGGAGGCAGCAGCCAACAGAGGATATTCACTAAAGACCAAGCAGCAGAGCAGCACTTTGGTATTCCCTGAAGACAGAGAAAGGAGAGGAAATGGTAAGTTCACTGTCTCCCTTTCAGAGATGACTAAATTTAGGAGGGGAGTCTGCCAGGAATGGGAGGGGGGGAGATGTAGGAGTTTGTACAGAGGTGCTTTTGCCCCCACAGATCTGCTGGGTTGCTGCAGACGTTCACACACCAGCCTGCTGAATTTGGTTTGCAGAACTCTGTGAGCTAAACTCTTCACCGTTCTAACTGCACCACTATAACACTGCCTTTCGACTAAAAACCAGTTCAGACTAATTGTCAAGGATCAGATAACAGGAAAATATTTCTATTTGACAGTCTACTATTTTTCAATTGTTCCTCTGTTACATATCTAAGTAAACATTTGTTCCACTTATCATTTCTGAGGAAAAGACATGAATCATTTGACTAGTAAAACCACAACGACAGCTGTTGCTTATTAGAAACAGTCATCTTATTCAAGAGCCTGCTATGGAGGAGTTCTTCAGGAAACTGTTTCTCCTTTTAGTGCTTTACAGTGCAATGAAAGCAAAGTTGTAGAAATTAGGGCATTTTTGTTTCACTTATGTGATTGGCAAAACACCCAGGTGCACACACATGGAACAATCATTACAGCTGAGTTAGAAGCCCCCAAGAAACAGGAAAATACTCAATTAAGAATGCTACTAATGATGTAATACTTATGTTCTTCGACTTTGTGGCATTTATACAGACCCTACATTATAGGTGAAACAAAACTGGATTTAAGGGTCCCTTGGTAAACAGATTGTAGTGTTTGGGATTTTGGTGTTAGATGCAATATTTATACCAGTTATTATGCATGTACCAGAAATATTTTTCATCATTTATGTTTTTTCCGCTCTTAGGAATAAATTGACCTTGGATTCATAAAATCCCTAGAAGCCAGTCATCAGTGGTCACTAGTACATTACTTTCAGAAAAAGCTTTTCAGGCCAGTGATTAAAAAATAAAAAAGAATAATTTTTAAAAGTCTGGTCAGGATGGAAAAAACAGAGAGAGCAACAAAATACTTTTTAAATTAGAAACAAAATAAGAAGCAAAAATTGGACCTTGACAAATTCAAGAACAATGAAGTGAAACTAAGTCAGGTTAGACATAAAGATTTTTCCCTTCCTGGAGTGCTGATTCAGAGGCTTAATAGACCATAAGGGCCAAAATCTGTTTCTGTGACCTGTGTGGAACAAAATTGTATTAAACAGAGGCCTAAGAGTTAGGCATTTTATGAGACAAAATCACTGGAATGGTATACCCTGTATGATGCCATTATTGTCAGCTTTGAAGGGAGAAGCCAAAGACTAAATGAGCATAGAGACTGCACTGATCCCAGCAGAGCAGAGGGGAGGAACCTTGGCAGGGCAGTGTAGAGATGCTACCAAGTAGTCTGCTCTGCAGGTAACAGGAGAGCTTTGTGGCTGTTACTAAATACCTTTCAAACCCACAAAATTAATTTGCAAACATTGAAAGAGTGAAAAAGAAAATCATTTAAATGGATTGTTGGATTATGCAAAAAAAAAAAAAAAAATGGGAGAGCAGAGCCGGGAAACTGGAAAGAAGTGTGTCACTGAGCTGAGGTTTATTATGAGTTAGAAATCTGCAAAACTGTCACCAATTCAATAATAGTATTCAGCAAGGTTTCCAGAGATCATATCCCGCCCTTCATTCACCCTCCCAACACTCAGTGATGGGAGTCAGCACTTTGCTGCAGCTGGATATTTAGAAGTCATTTGTTCTGTGTAACATGCCTGTTCTTACTAATCTTAGTCAAGTAAGTAGTCCATCCTCATGTGTCATCCCACAGAAGTCAAATGTGCTATTAGCATAAGTGATGATTACTTATCTGTGTGAGGTCCTGGGAGGTTGGGTCTTTCAGCATCAGTATACTTGACATGGCAGTCTTTCTATTGTAATTTAATAAAATGGGGCCCAATTCAGTTCAGAGGTGCCTTGAGGAATAAGCTGGACTTAAATGGTGCTTAGGCCTTTGACTGGACCTCTGCAAAGCCTTCATTCATTGAGTGAATGCTAATTAGTCAGAAGGGGGTTATTAAATAATAGACTCAGTTCTTTATCTTTGCTTAGAGCACGATACCTTTGCAAGTGCCTGAGCAAAGTACTGTAAAATCTGGACACACTCAGAGGAAATTTCAGGTACAATTTCTTTCCCTAGTAAAGACAGGGACTGCAATGTCATTAATAAACAGTAAAGAGAATTTGTACATGTCAATTCTAGAATACAGTGCACTAAAAACGGGCAGCATAAGACAGTGTGGAAAACTGCATCTCACAGCTGCACTGGAATGGAGATCTCCCCTCCAGACAGGGGGGTGGAAAAGGCCTCATCCAGAACCCTGTGCACTCTGGAAATCTGAGTCTGATGAGTTCTGAATTAGGCCCTTCTTGAGCAGGCACTCTTAGACACCCTCAATATCCAAGTCCTGGATGATTGTGAGCAGTAACGCACTCAGTGTAACATCTATAAACAGATCAGTTACCCCCTAATCAACTACTTGGTGCAAGGAGGAATCAATCAGTTCATTTTCTGTGCCATGCACCTCTCCTAAAGAACAGCTCCTAATTGCTGCATGGATAAATGAGGAAGAGATATCACTCATGCTAAGCATGTTATTTTAAGGGGTTACAGGTATTTCTAACAGCTGAGAATCTCTTGCTTTTTGGATTTCTCATATCTTTTTGTTCTTCACCTGATTTCTGAGCAGTTACCAGCCTCAGAGTGGCTCCTGTATTCTTTCTGAACCTTCATTTTAAGATCCTACAGTTCTCATAGCATTTACGTATTTTGCGAATGCTGCAGCAATTCCTTGTAACTTTTGTGGTCGTCTCCTTAATTCATAGTTTCCTCTGATTCCCAAGGTGTAATGGACATGGGAAAATTTTTGGATTATAATTTCCTAACCAAATAGCTCTTTTCTCTGCTCTTTGTTACATGTGATGTGCTATAGTTGCAGAACACATCTTCTATGTGACACCACAAGAGTTTTAAACAAAAATAAGATATTAAAAAAAGGTCTTAATACAAAAAAATATTGCCCAGCTGTTCAGTTCAGAGGGTTTGACATAGTACATCCCAAACAGTAGACTCATTCTGACATTCATTCTTTACCTTTGCTGGCTGTATCTGTAAAACAACCTGCTATTTGTGTATTACTGCATTTATGCTTTTCAACCAAGCGTTTGTGAAAAATTGCATTTATTAATTAGGACATCAATGCTTGCCAAATTAGGTATGCTAAAGGCATATATGCAGGACAATCCTGCACCATCACACGTACAAAGTGCATTTTACACAAGGCATCGCTTAGACTTCTGGGGAAAGATTAAAACCTGAATAGTAGATGGCAAACAGGTCCTCACTACATTAATAACAACAAAGGATCATCATTGTCAATATTAATGAAACAGTGCTAGAAAAGCTCTTTTTATCATTGCCTGGACAGCCTAAGTTTTTTTCCTATTAGATTTTTAATCAAGTTCAGACATTTTCAGAGCTGAGAGGCCTTTGCTGTCTCGTGCCCTTGTACAGCCTAACAACATGGCCACACTTCAGCCAGCTGTAATCCATATGAAGTCAATAGGACTTTCAAGTATGACAATTAAAAACCTTTGGAAAAAGCTTGCTTAATCAGTTTTTAAAAGATTTCAAGATCTGTATGTGTCCACCATTATTTAAAATAAGCATTTTTTATTTGCTAGCCATCCAAGGACCTGGTTTTTCTTCATTTTCCCATTAGCCTGGCAGTTTAGCCAGTAGAACCCTTTTATTCCTCCCACTGGAGTAGCAGAGAGAAATTCATTTTATTCTAGTGGATAGTAGTTGATTTCATTATCATATTATAGAAAATAAAGATTACAATTCCAAATTATTTTGCCTGCAGTCCACACACTAACCATGTAAATGGCAATATGTGGAAAAGTTGACTACATCATAAAAAATTTACTTCCTGCAAGGATTTTCTTGAATTGGTTTCAAAAGAATCTGCTGTTTGGCATCTTTCCTGTACTGAATTTCTGGAGGGTAACTGCATTATGTGCATGTAAAACATGCAAAAGGAAACATTCACTGAACTCTTTCTTTCTGCTACCAAATGTAACTGTACCACATTGTTTGTGTTTAAAAGACTTGCCTGAAAGCAAAACTCTACAGGCATACAAGGTTGTAGATGTATGCATTGTAAGATAACCACTAATGGAAGGTGAAATACTCTTCTGCTTCACTTGCTGTTGAGTGACAAAGGTTGCATTTAATGATAATTTGAATATTCTGCCGACAGTTTGGGATACTCTGCCCCCACCAAAATAAATAATAAATAAATAAATAACTAAATAAATAAATAAATAAATAAATGCTTCCAACTCCCAGAGCAAATGCCTATAAGTCTATAGAAAACAAATTAGGAATGCGTTATTCTCAATGAAAAAAGTCTCCACAAGAGCTATAATTTTATTTTTTTTAGTGCACAGAATAACATAAATCAAAAGAAGCAATAGTCTACCTTGTGTTTTGACTACTTTGACCCTCTTCAACCCCTGCCAATTTTTATCTCATTTTTGTTTAACTTTGTACATCAGAGTTTAATTTTAAACCTGGTCCTGAAGACAGTGATGTATAGGGTACATCAAGTATAGCTTAAATTACCCTCTCCCCAGTGATTTGAAGTTGAGGGGAGGGTCTTACTCCGCAGCAGGGTGGGAAAGAGAAATGGTCAGATGTTGCCCTTTGAACCTGACCACCCTCAGCTACAGAAACATTTATGCCAGAACATCATTTATTGATTTTATTATATTTTAGGATCTCTTAAAACTGTTGGTGAAGTTTACCATATATTAATTTCTGACACATGCATATAAAAACAGAAATATGGGTTGAGCAGAAACTATAAATATAGACAACACTGCCCAATAAACTTACATCCTTTCACTTATAGGTTTCTATTTCAGCTGATCATTCTGAGCAGCCTGTCTTTGGAAATAAATGTTACCCCTCTGATATGCTAACCAATTTGAAGATTAAAGCTGCATTTGAGGATTAAAGTTTTTCTTATTTGATTATTGTTGTGTCTTGTAACAGTAGAAGATAAATATTAATAAAATGTTACAGTCCGATTTCTGCTCACTTTACGCATGTGAGCATTTTATACCAAGAGACTGAACAAATTATGCAGGATTTGGCCCTTAAACTCAGCATTGACTGCTCTGTTTTCTCAGTCCACTAAGAATAAGTCTCCCGTGAAATGTTACATGTACTCGGCAAACTCCTGAACCCACTGCTGCCACGGAAAACTCTCACTGATGGGTAGCTCCGAGAACTCACCCTCCAATTATGTACCGCAGAGCTACGGATGTGTTTTTATTGAGGAGAATAAAAACCACAAGAAGCGCTCTACAACAGACCACAAAATGGGTTTGGCACCTGTGTCTGCCCGGAGCCGAAGTTTCGGAGTTGTGTTATCACGTGGCCCGCTGACCCCAGGAGAGCAGGGCTGACCTTGTCTTACACACAGAAGTCTATTGCTATGACTCCCCTGAGAGCACAAACCAGCTGCAAACTGCTGCAATGATTAACCCTTATGTGTTGTAGATGTAACATCGAGTCATGGTAATAAAGCTTTCACTGCATAACGGATCTCTTGCTTTGTAAATTGTTGCTCTTATCAGCTGCACTGGAGGATGTTATCCCTTTCCTGTGAAGCATGACTGCTGTGTTGTTCACTGGAAAGGAGACCAGATCTGTAGACTCGGTGATATTTATTCAATTGCTTTGAGAACAATACAGAGAATAAATACACTTTGTTTAAGCTAAAAATGCAGTGTGTGGAAACAAAAAACCCCATGAAATACTCATACATATGAAACAATATATTAATTAAAATCCAGAACGCCTGTAGCAGATTTGAATCTGGGAATGCCAGATTTGCTGTAACAGACAACTGTGTTGTTCTGTTGAGTCCAGGCTCCCATTTGTGGAAGTAATTTATACCCAACATTTTGTAAAAATGCAAACTTCCAGCCTGGAAGAGTTAACTGGGCAATTACAGAGTTTTGCTGTTTGGCTGGAAACAGACTGTTTGTAGCGATCAGCACTCACATCCCCAAAATATAATCAGTGTAAGTCTTATTTTGTCATGCACCCCAAACACCAGACCCAGTTCTTTGCTGTCCTATTTGCCCAAGCCAAGGGGAGTTCTGAGCGTGTCTCAGCTAAAATCCAAACCACAGGCCCGTGAACAAGGCCCTGCTTCCTCAGAAACGTGATGCCTTTTATCTCAGCGTGCTTCCCACCTTCCAGCCCTTCCCTTGCCAAATCTGTGGCCACATCAAGGCTGTGAAAGCAAAGGTGACCTCAATGTAAGCCTTGGTATGATACGATATTATCTGCTTTAGTCTGCACAGAGCCAGAAACACTATCTGAGAGGTGGAGGCTGTGTGTGTGTCACGAGGGCTGTCACTGCCCACAGTCACTGTTTCAAGAGGGGCTTTCCAACATCCCAAGAGCCAAGAGCAATGAAAAGGATTTGTTCAATGTATCCACCCATCGCAGCAGCAGTTCTGTGTGGTTTAGAGGCACAGGATTGTGGTCCTTGCTATTGCTCTGTCTCTCTGAAGCTCAGAGGTTGGACAGACCAAGAGCATTGCAGGGCTCTGTCCACAGCTCCCAGGGACTGTTTGTGGGTTTTACACACAACCTTTTTCAAAGGATAAAACCAGCTTCTGGGTTCAGGAATTTAGCAAAAAAAAATCCCTTTGGTATAAACGGTGGGAAAAATAAATTCAATTTAAGGAAACAAAAATTGTTTTCCCTAAAAATGTGAGGTCTTAGGAGCTTTGGGAGGGGATATTGTGAAAGGCTGTTGTGAATACACTGTTTGGGAGTGTAGTACACTAATGTCACTCGGTGCAGATTGAGAAAGGGTATTGGAAAACTTTTTCAGCTGAGGAGTGACAACTGGGAGGGAGGCTGTATTGACAATGGGTTTCCTTGCAAGATTCCCAGGTGTTCAGAGGGAGCAAGTTTGAGCCCTTTGATAAGAAGTAAATTAACACCTCTCTGTGGTCCATGACTCATCCCTTTCTCCACACCTTTCAGTCACATTGTTTCAGCCTGCCCCAATGAAGCAGAGGAGGATCTACAGGAGCAGTGCTTGGGCTGGCCTGGCCAGGGGCTGCACCAGGTATTTCTTATTTCCTACCAAGCAAAAAGCTGCTCTGGACTAATGATGCTTTGCTGGTTTGTATCTGGATTCATCTGCTTGAAAAACAGCACAGATAGTTTTACTGCAGAAGTTAGGATAGACAGGATTGTTCTTCACTTGTGAGCACAGGGAGCATTTTCCCACAGGGACAGCAGATGAAAGGAATGAGTTTATTCCTCTTTCCCCAACGCCACCTCCATAGGCACATCAGTGCTGTTATTTTAACACCAACAGCTGTAATTAAAAAAAAAAATACTATCAAGACCTCTGTGAGTCCTGCTACAGCAAATATACATAAAAAGACAGTGACAAAACATTTAAACTCCAAAACTGGCAGGAGCACAGAGAGGCAGTAACTTCACTTACTCCCTCATCGAGCCCAGCAGCTCCTGTTTTTCTCTGAGTAGCAGCTGTGGTCTCCCAGGTGGAGGCTGTTGGCCTCTGAATGGAGCAGAAGTTGCCTGTTCCCTCTTTAGTAGGGTGGGGAAGGGTCTTTTGGTGATGGTGTCTTGTGTCCTGCCTGGCTCCTGCAGGTGTGAGAGACTGGTGAGGAAGAGGAGGTGGCAGTAGGTTCCAGGTGCTGTGGGACTGTGTCCTGTCCTGGGGCTCTGCCTTTGAAAGCTGGAGAGGTCCTGTGTGCCCTTTCACATCTCATCCCTCCTCTGGCTGCCACTCCTGTTTCCAAGGTACTGTTGTCTTGATATTTGGTTCCTCAAAGGGGAGGGAGAAGCAACAAATTTACTGAAATTATCTTGATGTTATTTTGTTCTCTTGTGGGGTTTCTTGTGTGAAGGGTGTATCTCCTCTATTAACTCCCATTAATATCAAACATCTACTATCCTATTAATAGGATTTGCATATGGAAAGGAAGAGGATTGACCTTTAAATTCATTAAATAAAGCAAATTAAAAAAAATAATTTTAGTTAAAAGCATTAGTGTGATGAAAAATAGAAAAACAAATACATAGACATCAGTATCTGGGCTTTCATTAACACTAATGAGCAAATTATTGCAAGGGAAGATTTGCATCATTGGAATACGTATTCCAGCCTCCATACTGATATATGTGATGCAGGGTTATCTTTGTATGGCTCCTCTTTCAGAATATATTTTCTTTTTATAAAATAGCCTCTTTTTAACTCCCATTGGGGATCTCCTTATAAATGAGGAACTGGTCCTCAAGGGACTGGCCTGGCTAGAAAAGTGTGTTATTAGAAAAAAAAAAAGTGCATATTAGAATACTAAGCAATATAATTAGCTCATTTCTTTGGTTTTTTAGAAAATCTTAAAAAAAAAAAGTATAGCCAAGTTTAATTAAACATATTCTCTGGATGTTTGAATTGTGTAAGAATTAGAAAATCCTGTTGTATTTTAGAGGGATTAATTGCATCAATTTAAGGTTCTTGCTCTAATCTCCAATATGCAGTCAGGTATCATTGCTGCTCTTGCAAAGCAGGTACAGTGCTGCGAATAAGTGATGTTTGCCCACAAATCTGGGGCCACAAGCTGCCCCTTGGGTGGACATTCTCAGCCCTTGAGTGGTAATTAATGTATTCATCTTCTAATCTTTTAGACAGGAAAAAACATAGGTTCTCTATAGCAAAACTGGCTAAATCTGCAGATTCAAAATATTATCGTTCCTAATGATAAATATTGATTTACACGTGTTGAAAAGCTGTTGCCTTCACAGTAAGGAGTCTAAAATATAATTAGATTAGTAATGTTTCTGCCACCAAATCACTTTTTGAGGCTGATTCTGGAGACACTGATGTTCAGAGGTCTCAAGATCTCCAGCATTGCTTTGCTCTTAGGTCTTAACCCATCTGTGCCTCAGCTTTCCAAAATACAGCCCTTTGTAAAGAACTTTGAGATACTTGGATCAAACTTGCTGCCTGTCCAAAGTAGTATTAATCAGTATTTTGTGCTATTTTGTTATGCAGCTCAGTCTATAAAACCAACTATTTATTCTGATCCTGTTCTATCTCAGGCCCCCACAAGTGGGAAGAGGTGAAATGTTTCAGGTTATTCTGCTCAGAGCTCAGCTAATGTCATCTGCTGAATACAGCTCCAAACATCTGAAGCTGGTGAAATTAAATAAAGTGTGAGCATCCTTTAGTCTGGAGCTCTTTGCCTTTAAAACAATTACTCATGGTAACCTTAACAATGGTATATTAAGAAAAAAAATTCTCATAAAAGAATGTGGTGTTAGGATGGAGCTCTGCCTGATATTAGAACAATTATGGAGCAGATGCATCCACTCCGAACAAAGTGACCTTTTCATCAAGTTACAAAACATTAAAGGTTAAAGAATGTTTGAAAGGAAGTTAATACTTTTAAAACATTAGAAAAAATTGCCATTCTTTCAGGACCTGACCAAAATCAGTGGGAAACTATGAGATGACTGTTTAGGCACATCCAGTCATAATTTAAGCAACTCTTATTACAGAAGGATATTAGCTGTTTTATTTTACAATTAGAGGTGCTTTTTCAGAGAAGAAATGAGATTTGATAGGAATAAACACCCAATGACAGAAACCTGCTCTAAAGCTTGGCTAATTGCAATTTTAAAGTCGCATTTCTTCCTCTCCATTGTGTACAGAGGAGAACAAAGAGAGGGAATCAATGGTGGTGTCAGATTTTCTTAGTTTCCACGTTTCACCTGACCCGGGCGGTGCAAACCCCAGTGACCAGCCGGGGAGCAAAGCGCTGCGGCTCCTGCCCCGCGCTGCCCCCGCACACGGCGGGGAAGCGGTTCCTGCTCGCCCAGGGCCGCCCGGGAGGGGACAAGTGCCCGGGACCACCTCCGGGGTGCGGGACAGGAGCGGGGCGGCCGTAGCCCTCTCGGGGCTCGGGGCCTGCTTGGTGTATGCCCGGACAGCGGATCTCTGATATTTCCATTAATTTTCCCGGCCAAGGGGTGAGGGTGGGGGATGCCGGGTGCCGCACACGTTGTTGGACCCCGCACACGGCCCCGCAGCGCCCGGGCCCCGCGCTCTCCCTGCGCGATAAATTCAGTGCAGCCCTCCCTGAGCAGCAGCCACCGGGCACGCGGGGAGCGGGGATTTGGGATTTACGGCCCGGCGGCCCCGCCGAGGCTGTTTTCGTGTCTGTGTCCTGGCGGCCCCGCTGTGGGGTCAGAGCGCGGGGGAGGAGGAGGAGGAGGACGAGACGGGCCGGGGCTCAGGGAGCCGGTCGCTCTCCTCGACCCCGTGCGCGTCCTCGCGGGGCCACCGAGCTCCGTCCGTTCTTTAGGGCCGGCGGGGGCGGCTGTAGCTTTTCCCTTCCCTCGGTGGTCAGTGGGGCCCGGAGCGGGTCAAGGTGCGCTACCGGCAAATGGGCAACTTCTTAAAGATAAACTTCCACGTCTTAGTGCAAGCGCTATGTGCCAAACGCTAAAGACACGCCTGGGAAGGAAGTTTCTGTGAAAAGAAAGAAGGTTTTTGCTCGAACTTAAGCTTTATCAACTTCCCACTTCAAGTATTTTTTCTTTTTTCTTTTTTTTTTTTTAAGTGTATCTGTGCACAACAAAATCTTCATTGCGTTCAGTCACAGGCGGTCAGCAGAGAAGCAGCCGTGCCAGCTGTGCGATGGGAACTTTGAGGCGATGCGAGG